CCAAACAATGGCAGCAAGATAGTCTTTCTGAAGGAAAAGAATGGAAATGAAAATGATAAGTGTGGAACACATACACATTTATAGAGGCGTGAAGATGAAATGACGTGTATAGTAACTAAAATTAAATGGCCCAAAGCCTTTGAAAAAGAGATGGGAATATCAAGGAAGAATGTACATGAGTTTTAGTATAAGGTAAATAAATGCTTGGGGGGTTGACGATTAAGGAAAACGTCAATTAATGTGCAAGTAAATAAAACAGTCATTCATTAATGACAATGGTTGTCGTTACATTCAAAATTAGCAATAATAGCCAGTGCGAAATTACAAAAGGAAAGTAAAGCCATTAGATGTCCTAATTACAATTCGCCCCAAGCTGAACGCATATGTTCCCTAAGCCTTACCCAATCCTCTTTCTGTCTAGAAGAGGTGGTAGATACTTCAGCCACAACGTTATCATCAACCTCCAGCCTTTTGTAACGTTCAACCAAAGACTTGGTTCGCTCTATTTCTTGGGAAGCATTGCATTTCTTAGCAGCCATCCTAGCCCTGCAGTCATCCATTTTTGCTTGAAGTTCCTTAATCTCTGCAGTCAAACTTATCATCAAGGAATCTTCAACCATAACTTCAGAGGACATTTCGTCTAGTTCAGCCTTGACTTTATCAATCTCTTGAAGTAAAGATTCCCTTTCAGAGGTAGTACGAAGATACTGAGTAATCTTGGCCTTCAATTTGACATTTCTGGCTAGCAAGGACAGGATCTCAGAATGGATAGCCTTCAATTCGCTTTAAAATCAGAAGAAACATTTAGCGACGGAAGTATGAGTGCATGCGCCAATCTCGTACTCAAGAGCTCAAATTTATCCTTTTGTGTAGCAGCACTAGCTTTACCGATATCCATGTCCATGCAAGAAACATACTCAAGTACTGATTGTTTGAGAGTCTTCATATTTTCTTCTGAAAAAGCAGAAGATGTGTTGGTAGGATGACTGGTGGAAGAAGGATATGATGTCTTTACTTGTTCCCAAGAAGTAAACAAGTCTCGGATGGAACGCACAATGGCGTCGACACCCTGCAAAGAAAAGTTCCAACATTTAGTATCTTCACTGTAATGAACAAAGTGAAAAATAAAATTGAAGCAAAATGCTACCTCATCAGCAACCTTGGGAGGTTCGGCGCATCATCAGTTAGCTCCACCACCTATGGAGACTTTTCCTTGTCTGGGTGAGTAAACTCTGCCACAACGGGCAGGTCCATGGGAGCTTCTGCAGAATTCAAGAAGAAATGAATCGAAAAATAGTAGCACAAGCGAAGGTAAAAAAATCAAAATATGTATTACCTTCTGGTTCGACATTTGGGGGGTCAGCGCCCTGGGNAGCCAGTAGCACAAGCAAAGGTAAAACATCAAATAATGTATTACCTTCTGGTTCGACATTTGGGGGGTCAGCGCCCTGGGAAGATGGTAGCCCTTCAATTGGCTGCGATAAAGGTTCCTGGACGAAGGATTTCTCTTTAAACATGGTCCCTTCATTAGCTGATTTGGAGGAAGCAGCTTCAGCAGGAGGCGATGAAGCAGGAGTTGCCAAGACCAAAGCCTTCGAAGGAGAGGCTGAATTCTTCTGGAAAATTCAGGTAAACCATTAGTACATGAAGAAGGATATTTTGTGAATAAACAAATCCAATTACCTTTCTCCTAAGGATGAGAGCATCATCATCATCATTATCATCATGCTGTAAAATGGAAGATGTTGAAACTGGCCATTTGCGGCTGGAAGTACCTTTAACTATAGTAGCCTTGGAAGAAGGAGAAGCAGATGGAAGAATAGGACATTTAGCGTGAGCAGGTGAGGAAGGATTCCTGACTGACACAGGGGTAGCCAGAATGGGAGAAGTAGGAGACATGTCTGGTTTATCTAGCAGATGGAAAGCACGGTTGGCATCAGTTGTGAACAACCTACGCTTCACAGACAGCCAGAGTTGGTAAAAAAGGGGGTGTGTGACAGGGGTAGAATTGAAAGGAGCTAAAGAGAAACCTTTGGCCAAAAGATTATTATGGGCGTCCATGGCTTGTGCCTCGATTTTATTGATAGTATGGAAACACTCTGTCAAGTTTTTAGAATAATAAGGAGAAACATGTCACATTTGCCCAAAACCAAGTTGGCGAGCAAAAAATTGGGGAGCATATATCTCAACTCCTACCTTAGCATTCACTCCTGTGACAATGTCATGGAACAGTTCTCTCCCCATCAAAAATTGAACTCAGATGGGCAAAGAAGTGCTCACTTCTGCTAAAGTAGAAGGAGGCCGTACGTAAAGAGGGATTGGTGAGGAGAAAAAGGGAAGAAAGAAGGCGTTGAATTCAAAGTATAAAAGAATGTAAAAACGTCTCTGCTGGACATATTTACAGGGCTCAACTGATGAATGAATAGCCCATAGCAGCTGACTGTTCCGGGAGGAGTTGGTGGAGCACCAAGCTGTGGAAAATAGGCTCTCAACCAC